GCAGCAAGCGTTGGCTTTTGTTTCTCTTTGCAGCAACACTTTTGCATCACTTCAGCTGCGTAACGTCTTATGCATTTTAATTGGCCGAAAGGAGGCTACAAAAGCCATCTCTAAATAGCCAATGCCTGTAAGGAAGCATGCTTTGGGGGAATATAGTAGCTTTTTGGCTTACAGCCATTAACAATCAGTTGCGCCACCTTCAATTGCCATTTTATGCAATGTAAGAAATTTGCATTTTATTGCTAAATAAATATTGTGCATTGTTTTTTTATTATTTATATATAAATATGTATATATATTTCTCATTCTCTTCCTCTTCCTTTTAATATTTTAGTTTTCAACAATAGTGCAATAATATTATTATTTTATTAGTATTGTTTTCGTTTTAATCTTATTTTTTTATTGTAATTTGCACAAACTTTTGGCGAACAAAGCGAAGGCGTGTGCCTTTCGAGCTATGCAGCTACGCTATCAGCGTAAATTAAGTAAATTCCGTGTACGTGTTTGGTGTGTGCACGGAATATAAAGGAGTAGCTGTAGCAGTTGATTGTGTTGTCGGGATGGTGGTGGCGTAGCAGCATCACTTCAAGTAGCAAACTCTTAACGTCACTCTATTGTGTGTGTTGAAAAGCGCATGCGCACACGTCTCGCATAAATAAACCTTAAAAAAAATATATATGCTCAGCGAAATACTTTTCCACGCACCACACTCCTGTCACACCTCTACACCCGTCACACAGCACAACAGCTCATTTTACTTTCGCCGCGTGCAACAGTGCGTATGCGTAATATTTAATTAATACGCTTACTGTATAAGTGTATATGTGTGTGCTCATTTGCAGTACAGTATTTTGTGGCATCAGCTGTGCGCTGAAGGCACTTTGCAAATGCAAAGGGTACTAAAGTGAAAAGAAATAAAAAAAAGTGCTCACAGACAACAGGCAAGGGCGGCCTCTTAAATGTTAAGTATACGCAGTGTACGCCTTCGACAGACGTCGACAGCGGCAGCGTACAAAGGCAAGAGCTAATATTTTCACGCTACCATACAACAAAGAAAAATTTGTGCTCTTAGCTAGCTTTGCATATACATACATATGCATATAAATAGATGTATATATATTTAGGTATAACTACATTTATAGAGTTATATATACCAGTATATATATAACTGCAGTGGAATATTTGTAGCCTACACGCTTGCTTCTATTTATGCTCCTCAATATGCCGTGCACGTGTGCGCGCTTGCTGTTTGCTATTATTGTTGTTATAATTCTTTTATGTTTACTTAATTGCTAATGCTATTGTTGCTATTAATTATGCGGAATTTACGCTATTAAGACTTTGTAAAAGCATCGTACGCTACGAGTGCCAACAATAGTGGGCAAAAGAGCTACTTAGTTGCATTTTGCTTAAATTATTTGCTGAAATTCAAAGCTTCCATTTTAAAGGTTGAAAAATTTATTAAATTACTTAGATTTTTCAGTCAAAATGAAGTTTTTTAAATTATTTTAAATTTGTTTTTGTAAATTTTTAGTACCGATTTTGGTTTAAAAATTCATTCTTTTAATTCTTTTTTCTGCTTTAGTTGCTTGCTAAAACTTAAAATTCACTTTTTTGTAAAGAATTAAATATTTTTCTCTCTAAGTATTTATTGAAATTTAAAGGAAAATAAATTTTAAAAACGAATTTTTGAATTTTTTCAGTCAAAATAAAAATTTAATAATTGAAACTTTAAAATAATTTTTTTTGTAAATAACGGATTTTATTGTTGCTGAAGCTGAAAATATTCCATATAAGAGATTAATAAATTTATTTAAAATTATTGTGATTTTTTTTTCAGGATAAAAACTATTATTTATTCGAAAAAAAAATTTAAATTTCATGTTTGTTGTTGTAAGTTTTAAATTCCTTTAGAAATTTAAAAATTTATTTTTTTTACCAAAATTAAGTTAATTTTTATTTGATTTATTAATGAAATAAATATTTTTCTCACTTTTAATAAACAAATTAACTTTTTCGATATTTTTACGATTATTTAAAGTTAAAGAAAAAAACTTTCTAAGCCGCTTCCTAACACTCCTTGAAAATCTAAAGTCATAAGGGCCCTTACATTAATTGAAAGTAGCTCAGTGAGGCAGTGAAAATGGTGTTTCTTAATACAGAGATTCTACAGTGGCTTTTTCTTACAGCTGAGGAAAAAAAATAAAAAATTTGATTGCGATAGATTTGAGCCACTGCTGGTCGGAGAGGGCCGATTGCAACAAGTTGAGCAGTAAGATCTACTATTTTTTAATTTATAATATTTTATATTACATAATTTAAATTCATTTTTATTTTAATTTTAATTATTTTCCGAATACTCACACCCTTAATACAGTGTATATGAGACACACAGCATCATTCAATGTGATGCAACTTAATATAGCATATTTTTTGTTGAAAATAAAATTTTATACTGAAAATCTGTGTTTTAAAATAATTTAACACTTAAACAGTTTACTTCCTGCTCTGAGTTTTCCGCATATCACATAATACTTAACTTCATTATTATTTCCATAATGGCCATTGATATTCATTGTTGTTTTAATAATTTAATTTAACATTGATTTAACAGTTTACACTCATATATACCAAGGAAATAGCTGTACACCAGCTACCATTATATTTTGTTTTTGCATATAACGAAGTGTCGGCCTGTAAAAGCTGATTTGCATATTAAATAGTTTTTGACATTTACAAATAAATTGTAAAATTTACATAAAATGATGATGGGTCATTTTATTTTTATTTACAACAATTTGCATCGAACTTGCCTATGAAATCGAAGGCGAAGGGCACAAAAGATATTAAATGAATTAAAAATTATAAATTATAAAAACTAATATAAAAAAAAATAAAATACAATAAATTAAAATAAAATAAATAAAAAAATAAAATAAAATAAAATAAAATAAAATAAAATAAAAGAAAAGAAAGGAAAAGAAAATAAAATAAAATAAAACACAATAAAATAAAATAAAATAAAATAAAATAAAATAAAATAAAATAAAATAAAATAAAATAAAATAAAATAAAATAAAATAAAATAAAATAAACTAAATTAAAAAAATAAATTAAATCAAATAAAATAAATCAAATGAAAACAAAATAAAATAAAATTAAAAAGGAAATGAAATGAATTCAAAAAATATATTTAAAAAATATTAGATAAAATAAATAAAGAAAATTTAAAAATTTACTAATATTGCTAAGTTTTTTCCAGCTTATTTATCAAGAACTTTTTTTCTTACCAATAGTGTACATGAGTTATGCATAAATTAAATTATTATATTCAAATCTCTTGTCAACTTAACTATGTTTTAAAAAACTTCTAAACTTGTGGCGTTCAAGTCAACGCGCATAAAGCAATCGGAAAAATTATCTCTTTCAATCCGCCACTTTCCTACTGTTGACTGTCATTGCGGCTTTGTGGTTTTACAATTTAATTGACATAACTTTTATAAACATCGTCTCCAGCTGTGCGCTTCAGCAGCGTTTGCTTGATTTTAATGCGGTTTTTTCTTAATAATTTTACGCAGGCGATTTTTATGCAACAGCTAATTGCCGTTGTGTCCTTCTGATTTTCGCTGAGTTCACAGCTAGACTTTATGTAAAAATGAGTTTCTTTTATAAAAATTGAATCTAAATGCAATTTAATTTTTAGCTGTATTTTTATTTAATTGTCTGCCTAAATTGTGTTTAATTTGAATTTTTTTTTAATGAGATAAAGTGAAACGGAGGAAAGAAACGAATGGAAAAATATGGTGAATAAAATGTGAGGAATGAGAAATGAAATTAGTACTGAGCTGTAACAAAACTTTTTGATAAATATTTATTGCTAAATATTTTTATTCTCTTTTTTTTTGGTAAAAATTACTTTTAATTTTTTATTTGTTGTAAATTACAGAGTTCGTTATTTTAATATTGTATTTTATTTTCTAAACTCTAAAACGATGAGATTATTTTTCCAATTCTTTTATAAGAAAAATTTTTTTCTTCAATTTGCTAAAAACGTCAATATAAAATTCCTTCTCGCCAGTAACCGACCTTGTTCAATATAAATACAATGTTTACATAAATAATCTAACCTTGCTCTCAAACTTATATATACGTATAACTCAATAAGCGTACGAAAATCGTTAAAGTAAATAATAAGTACGCTTTAAATAGGCCTACAAGGTAATCAAAGAGTCAGCTGGGGCCACCAGCAAGCAAACACCAGCTATGAGACAAGCAGTGGTACAGCAACAACACCCAACCCAAACAGAGTGAGCGGCTTATAAGGTGTAAGCATTTTTCGTTTTATTTTTATTTGGCAAATAATGAATGAAAATAATAAAAAAAAATAGCAAAAAAAAAATCAATAAAAAGTAATTATGTATGCGTAACGCATACGCAACGTAGCACCGATACAAACGTGCGATACTTTAATGACACATTTGCTGTGTTGATCGATTTGTGCGTGAGCAAAGATATGAATTATTTATTGTAAATGATGTCTAAAAAATTATCGAATTTTTGTGATAATTTATTTTTTAGTTTTGATTTAGTATATAAATTTTGTATATTTTAAAAATTTTTTCACTTTCATTTGCTATGTACGCTTTGGCAATCACGGTTGTTTGATATGCCAGAAGATCCTGTGCAGAATATATCTATATATATATATGTATATATATGCCTATGCACATATAAATATATTTTATGACTGCATAATTCGTTTCGTTGAGTGTTCTTTGTTTAATTAACTGTTCTTCTGGTGTGACTTCTGTGCTACTGGTAGACAATGTGCCACTGTTTGGCTGTGCCTTAAGTGATTTTATTTTAAATTTTTTTCAATTTTTCGTTTTGCTTTAATGAGGTTTCTTCTGTGAAATAGAAGAATTATATATTTTTTTGAGGTTATACATTTTTGGAAATTCGTATTCACATTTTTCTTCTGAGTCATCTTCACATTCGCATTAATTATTGTATTCATATTCTTCTTCACATTCACATTCGTGTTCGTGTCCACATTCATATTCGTATTGATAATGGAAATTATTCTCTCTGTTATTTGTCGTAATCGTTTTCACATTCGCTTTCACATTTGGTTTCGTCTTCGTAATTGTATTTATCTTCGTATTCGTATTCGTAATCGTATACGTATTTGTGCTCGTATTCGTGGTCGTATTCAATTGTCTGTGCGAATTCGTATTCGCTTTCATGTTCGTAATCATGTTCATCTTCGTATTCGTACTTATAATTGTATTCGTGTACTTCTTTAGATTTATATTCGCGTTCGTATTTACATAAATATTCGTATTTATAATAGAACCTGTATTCGTATTTGGATTCCTATTGGCTTTTGCATCCGAATTCTTATATTCATTAATTGTCGTAATCGTTTTCGCATTCAATTCGTATTGGTAATCCCATTCGCTTTCGTGTTCGTAATCGTATTCGTCTTCATATTCGTATTCTTATTCGTACTCGTATTTGTGTTTGTATTTTTATTCGTATTTGGGCTCGCATTTGTTTTCATATTCAATTGTTAGCTGCTCTGTACTCGTATTCGTCTTCGCTTTCACATTCGGTTTCGTGTTCGTAAACTTGTACATCCTCGTAATCTTATTCCCAATGATATTTGCATTCCAATTCATATTCGTATTCTTATTCGTATTCGATTCGTAGTTGCATCTCCATGCGCATTGAAATTTCGATCAATTTGCACTCGCAAACAGCGTAAACAATGCCGATAACCGATATGACGAGGTTGACGATGACACCGAAAAGCTAAAAACTTTCGTATGACAGGAATGGAGAGGAAAATGTTAAAGAAATAAGATTATATAGTAATATATATTATACACATAAAAATATCTAAAAAGAAATCCAATTATTTATATATATCCTAATTATAACAATATATTTTTCATTTTGCAGGCTTATCTAAGAGCAGAATCTCGTTGTCTCGGTAAGTGAATAAGCAAATATTTTTAATTCAATGAAGTTTCAAAAGTGGAAAAATATTTCCTTTTTTAAAAGAAGAAGAAAGAAAAACAATTTAATTTCTAACAATAAATTTAAGTGAACATAAGATAAGACATACCATAACCACAGATAATTTGCAAATTTTTTGCTACTTTTTTTTTTAAGAAAAAAACAATTCAGCTTCATTTTAATTTATCTGACAACTTATTTGCGTATTCTTCTGCAACTAAGCTCTGTTTTTATTGTATTTTGGCACTACTATTTGTGCCAAGAACTGTCGTCTCTGTTGGCAATGCAATTCCTATTGTTGTTTTCTTAAAATTTCCACAGAAAATACTTGAATAGAAAAGAGAAGAGCAAGTCGAGTAGATAAGTAAAATAATGAGTTTCTCGGGAAAATGTGCAAAATAGAATTCATTGTGAAATTTTGTCGCCGCACTCGCCAAAGAGTAAACAAATTAATAAAGGCAAACAATAACAAAAGGAAGAAAATCAAAATAACTACAGAGGCGACAACGATCGCGGGAAAATGGCTTAGACCGAAATGCGAAGAAGCGCACAATGGCAAGCAATAATATAACAAAACCTGGAAAAAGCAAGACTTACTCAGTATGAACAGTTAACTTATTAAATGATAATTAGGTCGACTGATTTAGAAAAAAATAAATGAAAAGTAGATAATTGCCAAAGAATAATAAAAACTAAAATAAAATGAAATACATCTAAATAAAATAAAATATAATAAAACAAAATAAAATAAAATAAAATAAAATAAAATAAAGGAAAATAAATTAAAATAAAATAAAGTAAAATAAATTAAAATAACATAAAATTAAATAAAAGAAAATAAGAAACCTTCAGAAAAAAAATAATAAAACAAAAAATATTAAAAAATTAAAATAAAATGAAATAAAGTTTAATTAAGTAAGCTAGAAAAAAAAGGTAAGAATTACCTAGTTTTTAATTCACTTTTACCTACTTTCAGTTTTGTTTTTACCTAATTACACTTGCTCGTTTTATTTTCTATTAATTTTCTTACGTTATGGCGCTTTACCGTCACCGATGTGCCATAAAAGTTTGTGTATGTTTATATGTTAGTGTATGTATTGCATATATGAATGTGTCTGTGATACATGCGCAGCTGTTGCAGCTTTTATGCTGTAAATGTCGTTATTATTTGCCGTTTTTTTATTGCTACTGCTATTATTTGTTGCTGTTGCTTCTACCATTTTTTGCATAAGTTGTCACTTTTTTTGACGTCTTTTCTTTTATTTTCCGTACCGCTGTTGTTAGCGTAATTGCTTTTATTGTGTTTATTGCTAGTGACGATTGCTACGCTTGTTGCTACTGTTGTTGTTGTGTTTGCAGTGACTTTAGCAGTGATATAGCAATTGTTTTCGTTTTTGTTGTTGATTTTAAAATATCTTTTTTTTTAAAGTTGCTTCTTCTCCTGAGGTTGCGGATGAGACCTCTTTGGATATTTTTGTTGTTTTTGTTGCTTTTTATGAATGTGTAATTGAATTTTTTCCATTATAAATGACTTTTTTTGTATTGTTTTCATTCGTCTAATTTTGTTTGCATTTTTATTTGCGCTCTTTCTCTTATCCCCATAGTACACAGCTGAGCTACAATCCCACCACTTGATCTACTAACACAGTAAATGATTTCTACGGAACCACATTTTTCTCTACCTTTAACTGATTGCTTACAGTTCGAATTTACTGAATTTTCCTTTTAATTAGGGTCACCACCTATACATTTTATATGTTGCAATGCAACACCTCTCCACAACTGCATATACATATTTATATATTCGCAGTGATGTTCGCTCATAAATTCACAGCAATGTATAAATTGATGCAAAAACTTTGTGGTTGTTATTGTAGTTGGAAACTAGTCTGTCAATCGCTTTCAATGGTTTGTCTTCCTTTCACTTTTGATTGGTATACGAAAATACATAGTCAGTCAGCCATAAATAAAATATTCATTCAAACTAACCTACCATGACACTTGAGGGTACTTATAAGTGATAATTAATTTTAATTGATTGATAATATTTAATTTCTAATGAACGAGTGCGTATTTAAAGAATCATCTATTTTATTTACAGAAAGACTGATTTCTTTTAAATTAATTTACTTCTTTGTTTTATTAATGTCATTTATTTTTTTTATTACATTTTATTTTATATTACTTAGTTTATTATAATTTCATTTAATTTATTTTGATTTGATAAATTGCACTTTGTTTTATTTTATATTCTTTATTTTACTTAATTTAATACAAATTTATTTTATTTAATATTTAATATATTTTAATATTATTTAATATTTAATTATTTAATTTATCTCTATATAATTTTAGTATCATTTAATATTTAATTATTTAAATTATCTCAATTTAATTTATTTTACCTTATTTTAATTAAGAATTATAATTTATTTTGATTAAGTATTATAATTTTATTTATAATTTTTTACCTCATTTCCTTTTATTTATATATATTTATCAAATGATCTTATAATTTTTGGGGTTTTTTTGCCACTGTTCCAGACCACATATTTTTTGGAAATAGTGAAAGAATTACAACAATAGTTTTGGACGGTAGAAATTGTAGCTGCTATATCGAAAACTACCACGTTTCCTCGTAAGGCTTCTTTTTTCAGACACTTTTGTTCGAATTGGATGCGAACTTGGAATGGCCACAGCACGAGCCATTGGTTATCTCATTAAGCTACATGTATGCCGTTTTTATTTATTGTTGTTTTTTCATTATTCCTTTTACCTACATATCCACGTGCAAGTGCTCAGATATGCTGTAGCTAAAAACTTGGCGCCAATTCAACAGAGCAGTGACCTGAAAACGCATATTTTAAATTATTTACTTCATATTTTTATTTTATTTAATTCATTTTAATTTTACTTTTTATTTAATTTAACTTCAATTTACTTACATTATTTAATTTCTTTTATATTTGATAATTCATATTATTATATTTTACTTTTCATTTTATATTATGTAATTAATTTACTATTATTATTTATATTTATTTTTCTCAGTTTTTTAATTTATAATTATCTTATTTTACCTTGCTGCATTTTATTATTGTCTATTTATTTTATTTCAAAATTTATTTAAATAACTAATTAATTTTTTATAATATTTTATTTTATTTCATTTTATTATAATTTGTTTCATTTAATTTATATATTTTATTTTTTATTATTTTGCTTAAGTTTTCTTGACTTTTATTTATTATTGTATATTTCTTTATTTTATTTAAGTTTTTGTTTTTATTATATATTATTACATTTAATATATTTATTTTTTTTTTGGTGAGTTTTATTTTGCTTGAATTAATTTGTTTTTATTGTATTTCAATTTCCTTTATTTTAATTTTTCGTTTTATATTTTATATTTTTTATATTACCTTTATTTCTTATGTTATATTTTTTTAAGTTATTAAATAAAATAAAATAAAATTTATTTTATGTTGTTTCATTTTATTTATTTCAATTGACTTTTTTTAATTCTTAAAGATTTTTATTTAATTTAATTTTATTTTTTTTACTGGTTTTCATTTTTTTACGTATTTGCCTGCATATTAAATACTGCATTTTAAGTATGTTGTAAATAAAAAAAAAAATGAATTTAATAATAACCTCACCTCAACAACCTGCCGCGAGTTCCAGCGCTCGCAATAAATGTAAATCAAAAATCAACAACAATAACAAGTATATTTGCATTCCATTACATTTTCAATGCCGCCACTCTCAACTCTCCACTACCACACCGTCCTTCACCTCAGCACTCAGAGTACTCATCAGCTGTGTTGATTGAAATGATGAGTGAATGACTCACGTTTTATGTATAAATGAATGTATGTATGTATGTACCCTTACCAACTGATAGGCAAATTGACTGTCAGTAAAGCTAGCTAACTCTTATCGAGTTAGATGCAGTGAGTAAGAGGTGAAGAGCACTAGATGTTAAGGCATTTAACAAGCAACTGTTTAAAGCCGCACCCACACCAGTCAAGCAAACAGTAAAACAACAAATAAACCAACATGCAAGCAAGCAACCACAAACACAAAACAAAAACTAATAAGGCTACTGCAACCACTTATACTTTTGTTGTTGTTGCTACGGCTGCTACGACTGCTGCGGCTGCTGTGAGCTTGTTGATTTTTGCTTGTTGCAAACACTTGTCATTGTTTAAGGGTTGTTGTTGTTTTTGCTGTTGGCTAATATTACATTTGAAAGTTGTAACTGTGGCGCACATTGCTGTTGTTGTTATTATACCAAGTGCTCTAATGCATTTTCAGTTATTATGGTTAGCTTTTGTTGTTGTTGCCGATGCTGCTGTTCCTCGGAGTGCAGCTGCTATTATTGTACTTCTGCTTCTTCTTCTTCTTGTAATTTTTCATCATCATTATTCACTGATGTGGTTAGTGTTGGCATACAATGTTGTTGTTATTGCTACAACTGCTGTCTGTTAATGTTAATGAATTCTCCAACGACCCACATCTGCTCTTAAAATGTAATTGTTTGTGTATGCGCATATGTTTTGTTGTTGTTTTTGTGATTCTTATAAGTGAGCCATTGTTGTATGATTTACTACAGCATAATTGATGTGGCAAGGTCGAGCTTTCGCAGTAGCCATATACATACAGACGGGTATGTGGCATGTCAGCGTTGGGGCTTGAGTTCTGTGATAATGAGAGGAACGAGAGAGCCGAAGTGAGGAACATTCTTATATTAGGTATGGAAATAATTTTCTGAGAGTAGTTTTTTATGCAGTCACAGTTATAAGCTGGCGGAGAATTGTAGGGCATTGAAACAAATTTTTTTTCTGAATTATAATTTTTTTCTTTAATATTTTGTTTTGATTTTTTTAATTTTATTTATTTATAACATTTTATTTTTTTATTTTTTATTATTTTCTATCGCGTTTTTTTAACTTGAATAAATTACTCTGCTGT